AAAAAAAAAAAAAAAAAAAAAAAAATAAATGTATATATGTGACAGATAATAAGGAAAAAGATATGTAATCAAGTGGAAACAATGTATCTAAAAGTGTACCTTGAATTAGTACAATTGCCTTACATATTTTACATATTCTTCAGCCTGTTAGTCTGGCTTTCAATGTGTATATTTCATGATTAACTTCATAAGGTCTTACAAGATAAATGAATCTGATGCTGGAAAAAATAATAGAGGGCAAATGGATTGGGGAATTAAAATGCATTACTCATGTTTACCAATTGTCTACAATGAATGTAATCTTTATGTACTGCAAACAGATATTAATAAAAATCAAAATTAGTCACTAAACTTGGAGTTGAATCTAGATTTAGGACTCCCATCTTTGTAGCTTCCTTATTTCTGTAAATTCTTGTTTCCCCTCTGTGACAGGAGGATAGTGATTCCCCAGTACCTCATGGTCCTAGAATCCTAGATCACGCAGCAGGTGCTCACCACTTCTCTGTGTTCCCAGGGGCACCAGCGGAGAGTTTCTGAGCATGAATCAAACCACCCTGAAAAGTGACTCAACTTTTCATTCACTTTCTGCATTAGAAGTTGTGACCCTCCCGGTACTGACAGTCATCTGTGCCCTGGCAGGGCTGCCTGGAAACGTGGTTGTGCTCTGGCTCCTGGGCTTCTGTGTGAGCAGGAACCCCATCTCAGTCTACATCCTCAACCTGGCCACGTCGGACTTCCTTTACCTCTGTTGCCTTCTTGTATTCTACCTATGGGAATTCAGTGACTACTTTAACATTGCTTACTTCAAATACATACATGCTGTGGGGATGTTGTTGTACACCACAGGCCTGTTCATGCTCAGTGCCATTAGCGTCGAGCGTTGCCTTGCAGTCCTGTACCCCATCTGGTACCGCTGCCGCCGCCCAGGATACATGTCAGCTGTCATCTGTGCCCTGCTCTGGGCTATGTCCCTACTGCTCACCATGCTGCTACACTTCTCATGTAGCTCTTTCTTTTCAAAAGATGAGCTATGTTTAATAATGCATTCTGTCATAGGCCCATGTCTGATATTTGTATTTGTTATCCTCTGTGGGTCTAGTCTGACTTTGCTGGTCAGGATGCTCTGCAGCTCCAGGAGGTTGCAACTGACCAGGCTGTATGTGACCCTCGGGCTCACAGTGCTGGTCTTCCTCCTCTGTGGCCTGCCTGTAGGCATCATGCAGGTTTTGGGAGCCATACGTGCTCTTGAAATTCACTTTTCGACCTTTATTCGGCTTGAGAGGGCTGCTTTTTTGCTGTCTAGTATTAACAGTAGTGCCAACCCCATCATTTATTTCTTTGTTGGCTCTTTTAGGCAGAAACACCAACAGTATCAGCAGAGGCGGTCCCTGAAGTTGGTTCTCCAGAAGGCCCTGGAAGATGTAGCTGAGGGAGAGAAAAGTGGAGAAAGTCCTCCTCAGGAAAGTGTGGAGCTGTCAGGATCTCCTTAAAGGGGCAATTTGTATCTACCATCAGTCACTCAGAGAAGCAGTCTCTGTAGAAGATCACATATATAATTGTGACAAGTCACACCCTAGTATAGATATACAGGCACAAATAGAGACATCTGCTCATTCATCTATGTATTGTATCTCGCAGCTTTCACATGTAACAGCAGTTGAATAGTTGCAACAGAGGCCATTTTACTGCACAGATTAACATATTTACTAACTTGCTCTCTCTCTCTTTCGCTCTCTCTGTCTCTCTCTCTCTCTGTCTCTCTCTCTCTCTCTCTCTCTCTCTCTCTCTGTCCCCCTCTGAGCCTACTTGGATGCCCACACAATTCATATATAAATATTTTTAATAATATAACAATAAGTTCTGGATACATTATCTGGAAAGGATGTTGTCTCTTTCTCTTAGGATGGACCTTCAAATATGCAGGAAGCTAGCACCAATAATCATAAGCCAGGACTGAGCAAAATCAACTACAACCCCTTCCAGTCTCTCACTGCCTGAAAATTTGATATTATGAGGATTATTTAGGTGAACTTGGCTGCTTTCATCAAAGAGCTAAATACACCAGGCCCAGTAGTCAAAAACTTCAGAGGCTGGCAAATGGTAAGTAGAGTGATTGTAGGACCAATAGTTGCTTCATGTTGGTTCATGCCAGTGAGGCAGCCAACAGAGAAGCAGCAACACACATGAGCATCCAAGTATTGTTGCACCAACTATAGCAAATGAAAACTGTGTTGCTGCCGTTTCAAATCCAGTCATGAAATCTTGATCCTCAACCTAGCTAGAAACTTAACAGAAAAGAAATCTGGAGAATGTAGTTAGTCTCAGTCACTTGACATTTCAAATAATCCTAGCCTATTCTTTGTCAACCTGGTGAATATTTATTTATCTTCTTTAGACCATAATTCCAAATAAAGACAATGGCAAGGCTCTCTGTTTCATTATGACTGTTCAGTGTATACTACAAAGCATATCATTTCCACGACAAGTAATTCATCTTGTCCATACTCATAATAATATGTATCATTTTATGAATTGCCCACTCAAGGTTGTTACCCATGTTTATGGAATTTTCTTTCTACATTCCTCATTAAATTCTTTATGCATTCTAAATTTTAAAATGCTTTACTTTTACTTTTACTTTTACTTACACAGTCTCACCAGCAAGTTCACATTGGTTGCCATTGCTTCTGGTCTGGATTCATCATTTTCAATTAAAGGCTCCAGAATAGCAATTACTTATACGGAGATAAACCAGTTAAGGTGAGATGTGAGTGTAAATTAGGCAGATATCAGATACATGTCTATGAATGATTGTGTCAGAAGCTGCTCTGCTCTCTGATTAGCCCAGAGTCCTTCCATAATAGGAGGTCACAGGGGCCATATCAGCATTTGATAAGCCTGGCTTAGTCATCCAATTTCACTGCAGCTCCTACTGGACTTTGTTGCTTGAGAAGACAGAGGTAGTTACTCAGATATCATCCATTCTCAGAAATGCTCATCCTCTTCTAGAAGGATCTTCTCTGTACATCCAAAGAGAATAATGGAAAAAAGTTAAGGGTACATAAGACCTATCTTATTACCAGAATGGGTTACAGATGCTATTATAAGTTCATAAGCCTATTTGCTACACTGGATGCTACATTCAGGGTTGAGATAGCCTCCTTTGGGGAAAAGAATGAGACATGAAATCTCCTTCCAAAACTAGCACAAGCAACCTCTATTACGTGTGCGTGTATGGAGTTATACAAACCATTGTTGATTTCGGTACACTTCCACATCTTCTCCACTTTATTTTCAATGTACCACTGTAGAAGACCACCCATATTTAGGACCTGGCCCTCCAAGGTCATCAAAGATCTGAGGTATGAAGGGACCTTTTGTGCAACACCTTACATCTTTGGTAAGTCACTCAACTTCCTGAGCAGGGAGATGGCTGGACACCAGAGGACAAATGTAACATGTGCTAAAGGAGGGTCAGCAAGAGAAAAAGTCTCCCATGCTTTCACTGAAAGCAACTTGGTGAAGAAAGGCTGTGACCCGTCCTAATGGTGGACAGTGGCTGAGGAGCTGATAAGCTCTATTCATGGTTCCAAAATAAAACCTAAAGAGACTTAACTGACCTTGACAGATAGCAAGATGTTCATATTGATTAACACATATCTCACTTTACTTGGTCTTAAACACCCAGCGGAAAAGAAGAACCAAAAGAGGCAGTCAGTGAATAGGCACTAGCAATAGAGAGGCTTTTGAGGCCCACACTCCACCTCCCTATAAAGGGATACACCTCCAAGTGGTAAATCAGATAACCCAATATCAAAAACTGGTACAACACCTATTTAATACCACCCTCCACTATTTCTCTGTCAATATCTCAGACTGTTGGTTGTGCATTTCCATTTACCCCTGCTTATTCACTCCAATTCCCACCCACCTAGATTTTAACCTATCTGTCTCAAATACTGGCAATTTATCCATAGTTCTGGGATCCTTTGCTACTGGTTTCCCATTCCTTGTACAAACCATTAGCCTGACATGCATGAAGCAGAATGACAACATTACTTGCCTTGCTTGCTCTCTCATTATCTCAGAAGAGCATCTGATCTACCTGTCCAACAGCCTGTACTTCATATGTAATCAAGAGGCACTGTAATGCCTCAATCACTTGGATGTTTTCTGTTACTATCCTTCCTTAGCCCTCCCATGATGATTTATAGAGAAGCCCAGGGGTCTACACTAGTTCTCTCACAGAACACAACCAGAAAAATGGAAGCTGCTGTTCTAGTCACCTTCTTAATGGGAGCAGGGGTACTCATTGGGATGACAATGGGGATAGCAGTCATTTCTATATCCACATATTTCTCTCAGGCCCTGTCCATAGAGATTTCAGAAAACATGGATAAAATAAGCCAATCCTTAAATACGATACAAGATCCAATAAATTCTCTAGTAGCAGCCATGTTACAAAATACAAGGGCCCTTGACATGCTAGCCTGCCCAAGAGGGAAAGCACCAGAGGCTAGGGTAAAGAATGCTATTATTTTGTGAACCAGTCAGGGATTGTTAAAGGAAAGCTTGAAGAATTACAGCAGTGCAATTCTTTGATAAGAGCAGAAGGAACAATGGAATTCTTGGATGGCCCTTCCCATAATCTACACCCAGAACCATGCTCAGAACCATTACTCAGTGGGCTATTTTAGTACCACAGTCCCTTAATCCTTGTATCACACACTCTAGATCCAGCCATCTCTGAAAAGCCCCACCTAGGCAGTCCCTCAGGAGTCTCATGTGTTCAGAAGCGGTGGTTTTGGAAGCTCATCAGACCATGGGGTGCTGTGCTCATCATGGATTAATCCAAGGGTGAGTTCAGAGCTAAATGTGCTGCTGGGAGGTGGAGCCTTCTCAGAAGGGGCCAGTCATGGCATGACCTACAAGGGCGTATTCTTGTTCCCAAGACAAAAGCTGTCCCTGGCTTTCTCAAGTTATGCCTTGGCTACTCCCCTTCTTGGGCCCTCTGGCTTTTATGTGTCTTTTAATCATGATAGGGCCCTGTCTGTTTTGTTGTTTTCAAAATTTCTTGCAGGAACACATGACAGCATTTACCATCCAGACAATAATGGAACTCGTCATGGCAGAGTATCAGCCACTGCAGTAGAGGGAAGAGGCCCCCACCTACCACTGCCCCCACCAAATCCAGGGTTAGCCCCAATCTTCACCCCTTTGTCAGGTTGAAGCAGTTCCAGAAGAAGAGACTTTTACCAATAACCATAAAACAAAAGTCTGGAATGTTAGATTTTCCTTGCCTTAAGATGGCTATTGAATCCCCTCCCCATAATGCCCTGCTTCTCACTTAAAAAGATGGCTTCTCCCACCTACCAAACAACAGCCTTCTTCCCATGATGCATCTTCTCCAGCCAAAATTAACCATATACTTGCTACCTCCAAGTAATCAGTGATCTCACAAGCCCCTCCTAGTGATGTCACAGGCTCACTTAACTCCACCACAGTTCATATAAGCCTCACCCCAGTTCTATAAAATAAGCTCTCTGTTCTGCCATATTGCTCTCTCTCCTTTGATCGGAGGCAGCCTGGCACATTGTCTCTACGATAAAGGCTTTACTGATTCTTGAAAAATAAATAAATAAAGATCAGAGCAGAAGTCAATGCAAGACAACCATACAAAAAAATCAATGAAGCAGAAAGATTGTTTTTCAAAAGAATAAACAAAAATTGACAAATCCTTAGCCAACCTTATCAAAAAGTACCAATAAACTTAATTAAAAAATAAATAAGTAAAAAGAGGAAAGAAAAGACCCAAATTCATGCACTTAGGAATGAAAAGGGTGTAATTACAATTAACCCAGGAGAAATCAAGAGGATCATCAATACCTACTTTAAGAACCTATATACCAATAAGAAGAAAAACACAAAAGAAATAGATTTCTACATATATATATATATGTATATATATATGAATTACCATATAGATGAATGAAAAAGATCTAAAACTTCTAAACAACCCAATATCAATCAAAATTGAAAATGTAATTAAAAACACACCAACAAAAAAAGCCCAGGCCCTTATGATTTCACTGCTGAATTCTATGAGACGTTTAGAGAAGAACTATTGCCATTACTCTTTAAACTCTTCAATGAAATTGAAAGGGAAGCAATACTCCCAGTTTCATATCTGGAAGCAAGCATGACCTTCATCTCAAAAGCAGAGAAAGACCCAACCAAAAAAGATAGCTATAGGCCAAACTCTCTAATGAACATAGATGCAAAAATCCTCAATAAGGTCCTGGCAAAATGAATACAAAAGACCATCAAGAAGATCATACACCCTGACCAAGTGGCATTTATCCCAGGGATGCAAGGATAGTTCAAAATATGTAAATCAATAAATGTAATACAGTATATTAACAGAGTCAAGGACAAAAACCATATGCCCATTTCAACAGATGCAGAAAAAGCATTCAACAAAATCCATCGTCCATTCATAACAAAAGCCTTACAGAAAAATTGGAATGGATGGTCTCTCTCAACCTGATAAAAGCCATCTAAGCAAAACGAACAGCCAACAGCATACTAAATGATCAAAAACTGAAATCCATTACAGTGAAATAACAAGACAAGGGTATCCACTATCACTTCTGTTCAATATAGTTCTGGAAATATTAGCCACAGCAATTAGATAGGAAAAGGAAATAAAGATTAGAATGAAGAAGTTCAAACTGTCACTATTTGCAGATGACATGGTATTCTATGCAGAAGGCCACAAGAACTCCATCAAAAGTCTTCCACACTTAATACACAAATTCAGTAGAATAGCTGGATACAAGGTACACACACAAAAATCAATAGCTTTCTTGTACATGAGCAACATATTAAGTGACAGAGAAATTGGGGAAACAACTTCTCTCACAATAGCATTCAAAAAATAAAATACCTAGGAATCAAGTTAAGGAAAGAAATCAAATTCCTCTACTCTGAAAACTATAGCACTGTGAAAAAGAGATCAAAGTGGATATCAGAAAATGGACAGGCATCCCTTGCTCCTGTGAAATGGCCATAATTCCAAAACTGCTATGCAGATTCAATGTAATTCCAATTGAAATCTGAACAGTATCTTTCTCAGAACTAGAGAAAACAATCCAAAAATTCATCTAGAACCAGAAAAGACATAGAATAGCAAAAGAAATTCTAGACAACAAAGACAAGGAAGCGGGTATCACAATCCCCTTGCTGAAGCCATGCTACAAATCTAATGTGATTTAAGCAGCATTATACTGGCAAAGAAACAGACCTGAAGACCAGTGGAATAGATTAGAAAATGTAGAAGCAACTCCAGACATACTCAGCTGTAGGAACCAAGTTTTCTGATCAAGGTGGGCTCCCTCTTAACCCTTTGCTCCAAACAGCAAGACTAAGTTTTCTGGACTGGGGCTGTAACAGCCTCCTCCCTTTTTTATGTTCCTCTTCTTTTGACCCAAGAATGAACTTATCTCCTCCCCGATAGTTGCTTAGTAATGAATAAGTTAAGCAAGGAAACCATATGTTTTGCTAAGCAT